CAATTGCAGATAGATAGATTTTTGAATGAATCTGTGATTCTGTGAGCAACTCAATCTTCCTGCCTGCTTTGCCTAATTTTGGGTAAAAGTTGCTCTTTTTTAATAAAAAATCCAATATTTACATACATGGTGTATTGTGAGTTAATTTTGTGAGTTTGCTTGCAAGCAAATTTTATATGACAGACTGAGCTAGCTGATGGCAGATAGATAGATCTCTGAATGAATCTATGATTCTGTGAGCAACTCAATCTGCCTGCCTGCTTTGCCTGATTTTGGGTAAAAGTTGCTCTTTTTTAATTAAAAAAATTCAATATTTATTTATTGAAATAAATAAATATTTATAAATATTTATAATATAACATAAATATTTATAATACTTACATACAAGCCATGCCCAGCCAGTCACATGACCACCAAGCAACACCCAAAACTTAGGCCATGCCCACAGAACCAGTTGTTAAGAAATTTAAATCCCAGCCCTGCCTCTGTGTGTGTGTGTGTGTGTGTGTGTGTGTGTGTGTATGAGGGGGGGAGAGAGGGAGAGGTTAGATCAGATCTATCTCTCTCCCCACCACCCCTCCACCAATGTCAGCAAGCCACCGTCAGTCAAAATTCATATTAGCAGTCCCTGGGATTTAAAATTATGAGTTTGGTGTTCCCTGAGGTCCAAAAGGTTGGTGACCTGCTCTATAGGGTCATTTTGAGGGTAGGAGTTGAAACAGTTTATGTCCAGGATGTGTGGGGTCTGTAAATATTTTCACAGCCCTCTTTTTGACTCGTGCAGTATACAGGATCTTAATGGAAGACATGTTGGTAGTAATTGTTTTCTTCTGCAGTCCTTATTACCTTCTGAAGTCTGTGTCTGTCTTGTTGGGTTGCAGAACCAAACCAGACAGTTATAGAGGTGCAGATGATAGACTCAATAATTCCTCTCTAGAACTGTATCAGCAGCTCTTTGGGCAGTTTGAGCTTTCTGAGTTGGCACAGAAAGAACATTCTTTGTTGTGCTTTTTTGATTATGTTTTTGATGTTAGGTGTCCATTTTAGGTCTTGAGATATGATAGAACCTAGAAATTTGAAGGTCTGTACTGTACCATGTCTGTACTATACCATGTTGTCTAGTATTGTAAGAGTTGGTAGTATTGGAGGGTTTCTCCTAAAGTCTACCACTATTTCTACGGTTTTGAGTGTGTTCAGTTCCAGATTGTTCCAGTCACACCACGCAACAACCTCCCGTCTGTATGCAGATTCATCATTGTCTCAAATGAGACCAATCACTGTTGTATCATCTGCAAACTTCAGTAGTTTAACAGATGGACCATTTGAGATGAAGTCATTGGTATATAGGGAGAAGAGAAATGGAGAGAGCACACAGCTTTGGGTGGGGGGCTGTGCTAATTGTACAGGTATTAGATGTGATTCTGCCTAGCTTCACCTGCTGCTTCCTGTCTGTTAGGAAGCTTATGATCCACTTACAAGTGTGTTCAGGTACCGCTAGCTGGTTTAGTTTAGTTCGAAGAATGTCTGGAACCATGGTATTTGTTATGATATGTACAGAATGACCTTTGAGTAACAAGGATATGCACATGGAAACGTTTATGAGAATAGTTATGAATATTTATCCAGCCACACACAGATACACTAAACTGAGTTAAAGTTTACTTTAAGAAATAGCACAATCCAATAAACGGTCCAGGTCATATATGTTTAACAGTCCAAAGAATATCCAATTAGCAAGTCTTCTTACCGGTTGCCTTTGTCATTTACAGTAAACAAAAATATCAAAGTATAAGCACAGCAACAGAAACCTTAGATAGCAACAAAATGTCAGAGAGACAGAATGTCAGAGAGAGCTAGCCATGATCTCTAGCTCCCTCTTATGTCAATTCACAATACAATCAACCAATCGGAACATAGTACAAATCAGTACAGTAACTTTGTCTTAAAGCTACAAACATACATTGTTGGTTTATATATTGCCAACCCAAGTAATTGGTGGACAGATTCCTAACATTCTCCCCTTTGGGTTGGTCAATATATAATACATTACATCTTAAAACCATAATTCTCACAACACTCGTTATGTTTAATTGCACCTTGAGCTTTCATGAAATGATCTGCAATATTATGTTCAGTCATGCAATATTCTAACTGAATTAATTTATTTTTAACACACTGTCTAATGTTCAAATATCTCAAATCAGTATGTTTAGACCTTGTTTTAATAGCTAAATTAGTAGCCATTTTAATTGCAGATTGATTGTCTTCATAAACAATAAACGGATCACATTCAGTAATTCCAATATCCTTCAACAATTGTTTATAATATATCAATTCTGTACAAATCAATGATAAACATGACAATTCCGCTTCCATAGTGGATAAACTAATATGTTGTTGCCTAATAGACTTCCATCCTATTTAAGCATTACCCAACATTACCACTATACCTGATGTTGACTTACGAGTCATTATATCAGTAGCAGAACTTGCATCAGCATATGTAGTTAACACTAATTCATTACTTGGTCCTAAATATAATGAATAATGGATTGTGTGTTTTAAAAACCTAATTATTTGCTTAGCTGCTTGCCAATATCTTTCATTTGGTTCAGTGTTATACCTAGCCAATTCGTTTACACTGTAAGATATATCTGGTCTAGACCAATTACCCAGATATGATAGACTACCGATTAAGGATTGATATATTTCATTATCAAACATAGGACTTTTAATATCACTATGTGTAAATTCCTTACTCATTGGTGTCTTAGCAGATTTACAATGCTCCATGTTATAGCGTTTTAATAATTGGCTAATCTTGGCTTGCGAAATTTTAAAACCTTTATTTGTTTTCACTATATCAAGACCCAAATAATGCTTAATCTCCCCTAAATTTCTAATCCTGAACTTTTTCTGTAATCTATCAACAATATCATTTACTTCTTGTTCAGTTTTAGTTATAATTGCTATGTCATCCGTAATAACAGTAATAGAGAAATTAAACCATCTTTTTCTCTTCAGAACAAACAAGGATCAGCTATACCAGCTTCAAAACCTATTGAAACTAATTCCTTTACAATACATTTCTTTAATTTCCAATAATCAGTTTTTCCATCATCCTTTAAACCTAATGGCTTTTTCATATAGATGGTATGTTGTAAAGGTGCATGTAGATATGCAGTTTCAATATCTACATGGTTTATTTTACATTTATTCTTAGCTGCCCAAACTAATGCTGCTCTCAATGTATTTGCTCTCAGACTAGGTGCAAACACTTTATCATGGTCCTTATCTGACTGAGTATATCCTTGAGCAACTAATCTTGCTTTATGGGTAATAGTCCCATCCACACCAGTCTTTATCTTATACACCCATTTGCAACCTATTGCACGCTCACCTGGTGGTACCTTTACATCGTCATACACCTCTAAATCCTTTAACAATTTTTACTCCCTATTCATAGCTTGCTGCCAAGCTACCAGATCCTATGTGGGATACAGTTTTTTTTCCATTGAAGTTAGAAGGTTCTGTATTAACCTGACATACAATGCTTGCTTGAAATCTGTCAGGTGGACGTCTCACCCTAGTTGACCTCCTAGGCAACTCAGTACATGCTGTTGGCATGTCCTCTTCCTTTACCTCCCTTATCAATTCCTCGTCTTCTACAGTAATAGAGGGTTCTTCTATTGATGATTCCTCCATTGAGGATTCTTCCACTATCTTATCATCAATATTATTATCATTAGGATTATCAGTAAATAATGGAGTCTCAACAACAACACTATCCTGTACCTTATTATATTCCTGTTCAAGCTTTCTCCAATCAGCATGCTCCAGAAATTTAGCACTTGCACTGCAATATACATTAGTAGTACCTGGCTCCCAAAATCTAAATGATCTATGATTAGCTTTGTTATATCTGGAGGAGTGGGCGCAATAACGGAGACGAGGCATCGATAGTGACTCAATTCAACTCTTTAATAGTGACTTCAGAACAGAGCAACAACTAGGGCAGCAGCAGCTCTTTTATAGAGCTGGCTGCTGTCACAACGGCCAATGAAATTGAACTAACCGCTCTAAAAGCGTCCAATCAGAGACGGCCCATTGTCAGCCAATCAGATTAGCCAGAATCGGCCAATCACGATTTGCTTATCCGCGGGCCAATCCGAAGTGCAGGATTACAAGCCTGCTGCTGAAGTAAGCTAGTATAGTTATTGTCAAATGAGTTTGTTTAGTTCGTAACACCCCTTCCCCCTAGGTTCCGTCTTAGGGGTGGGGTGACGTATTCTCGTAAGTAGGCAAGCCATTTCACCTGTCTTCGATTTTCGCTGTTCCACCGGTCTCTGCTCAGGCGCGGACTCCGGTGGGCGGTCTGTAGAACCGGGTGGCGAAAACGGCTCCGCTGTTTCGCTCGGGGACTCAGGGCTGTCCTCTCTGTTGTCATCCGGGTTCCCTGGACTTGCTTCTATGGCCGGGCTGCTTTGTGGCAAAACAATCACCCGGCTCGGTCCTCCTCCAGAAGGTGAGTATCCCATGGTTGGTTGTGCAGACTGCTGGGCGTCAGTTAGTGGGTCGTCTGCTATTTCTATTTCGGCCCCCTCGATTTCCCTTCCCTCCCCAGTTTGAGATTCAGGGGTTGAGATAGGGTTAGGTGCCAATCAGGAACGAAGTTGGTCTATATGGCGCTTCCATAATTTCCCATCGCTAGTTTGTAGACGGTAAGATCTGGGGCCCGTAATTTGAGTTATAGTAGCGGGGACCCACAATGGATCACCCGAGAAGTTTTTCGCAAAGACTAAGTCGCCTATCTTGAATGCACGACACTTGCTGCTGGACCCGCAATTTTTTTCTGGTGTGTAGGTTGGATGCAGGCGATCGAGGTGTGAGCGAAGTTTCCAGCCCATTAGAAGTTCGGCCGGGGTTCTGTTTGTGATGCTGTGCGGGGTGATGTGTTGGAGGAGAAGCATTCTGGTTACTTTGTCGTCAATGTCTCCATGTTCCATCTTGTGCAAGGTCTTTTTTATGAATTGGACCATGCGCCCAGCCCTGCCATTGGCCGCAGGGTGAGCCGGCGAAGTTAAGGCATGGCGGATGCCCCGGTCGGCTAGGTACTGTTCAAATGCTAGGGCAGTGAATTGGGGACCGTTATCCGAGACTAAAACGTCAGGCAATCCGTGCGTAACGAATAGCCTATTTAATTTTTTAATGACGGCTTCTGTGGTGGTGCTCTTCATTTTGTGGACTTCGAGCCAGTTGGAATAGGCATCCACAGTTATGAGGAAAGTGTGTCCCTTGGTGGGTCCCGCAAAGTCAATGTGGATGCGGGACCAGGGACCACGAGGTGCGTCCCATTCAGTTGGAGGTGCCTTCAGTGGAGCAGCGTGGATTTCCTGGCACTTGTTGCATGTGGCCACCCAGGCTTCTATCTGTTTATCGATACCTGGCCACCATGCGTAACTTCTTGCCAATGCCTTCATTCGCACGATGCCTGGATGACCATCATGCAACAGTTTTAGAACTGTATGTTGTAATTTTTCTGGAATGACGACTCTGTCTCCCCACAAGATGCAGCCCTTTTGGGAAAATAGTTCTGTCTGTCGGTGTTTGAACGGCGCGAAGGTGTCGTTGGTTTCGGCGTCAGGCCAACCTCGTTCCACCCAGCTGAGGACTTGAGCGAATACAGGATCCTTTTTTGTTTCCGTGGCGATGTCTCGCGCAGTCAGGGGTGGCGCAGGGAGAGTTTCGATTTGGAGTGCAGTTAAAGTTGGAGCTGGATCATCTATGGCTTCCGGTAGCGGAGAATGACTCAAGGCGTCAGCGTGGGGAATGGCTTTCCCCGGGTGGTGTTGCAGTTGATAATCGTATGTGGCTAGAAACTCTGACCAACGGGTCATTCTTGGTGATAATATGTGGGGAGTTGGTTTGTCTCCTGCTAAAATGCCCAGCAATGGCTTGTGATCGGTTATTATGGTAAACGGTCTGCCATATACATATTCGTGAAAGCGTTTAATAGCGGATACAATGGCAAGAGCCTCTTTATCGAGTTGGCTGTAGTTTCTTTCAGTCTTTGATAAAGTTCGTGAAAAGAAAGCAATAGGTGCTTCATTTCCGTTTGGTAGGACATGACTTAAGATGACTCCTACCCCAAACGGTGAAGTGTCGCAGGTGACCGTTAAAGGCAAAGTCTCGTTATACTGCATTAATACAGCATCTGAGGTTAAGAGATCTTTTACTTGCTGGATGGCTCGTTCTTCCCGGTGTCCCCAGACCCAGGAAGCCTTTTTGTCGAGTAGTCTATGTAGGGGCTCAGCTACAGTTGCCTTTTGGGGCAAGAAGATGTTATAAAAGTAAATGAGTCCTAGGAAGGCTTGGAGATCTGTTTTATTCCTGGGTCTTGGGGCGTTTTTTATCGCAGTTACTTTTTTCTCAGTGGGATGGATTCCCTTTTTGTCAAGAAGGTACCCCAGGAATTCAACCCTCTCAGTACACTTGTCTTTTTTCACTTTTAACCCGGTGTTTTTGAATTTCTGAAGGACCGTTCTGAGTTGTTTCTCTAATATGTCTTTAGTGGGGGCAGCTATCAATACGTCATCGAAATAAGGCACGACTCCTTTTATGCCTTGTAGCAGTCTCTCCATCAGGCTTTGGAAAATGCCTGGTGCTACACTCACTCCGAACTGGAGTCTATTACATTTAAACGCACCTCTGTGCGTGACTATAGTCTGGGCCTCAGCAGTTTCTGCATCTACGGGTAGTTGCTGGTATGCCTGGGTGAGGTCCAATTTTGCAAATATTTTTCCGCCACCCAGGGAGTGAAGAAGATGTTGGACCACAGGTACTGGGTAAGCGCTCTGCTGAAGCGTGTGATTTAGGGTGGTCCGGTAATCCCCACAAATTCTTATCGATCCATCAGGCTTTATGGGAGTTACAATCGGGGTTTCCCAACGGGCGTGATCGATCGGTTCTAACACCCCCTGAGCTATTAATTTGTCCAATTGTTCATCAATCTTTGGCTTGAGTGCGAAGGGCACTCGACGAGGCTTAAGGCGGATGGGCGCGACATCGGGGTTGAGGCTAAACGATATGGGGGATCCCTTGTACTTGCCTAGCTTCTCGGTGAACACGTCCTGGAACTCCTGGACGAGGGCCGCTTCCCAGTCGCTGTTCCCGGTCTGGTGAATGCCAGGTAGTTCAATTCCCAGTGGAGCGAACCACTGTAACCCCAACAAGCTGGGTCGGTCTCGATCGATGATGGTAATAGGCAGAGTTGCGGTGTGGTCCTTGAAGGACACCTGGACGTTGTGGGAACCGGCAACGGGAATCCTGTTCCCCTGGTGGTCCCTTAATATGATTTTTTGGGTGCTGAGATCCTGGCGACGGATGTCAGGGATCAGCTGTTTGAAGGTTTTCCACGAGACCATCGATAGGGACGATCCCGAGTCTACTTCCATTACGCATGGACGATTCTCAATGGCGACCTTCACTCGGATCTTTCTTGCATCCAAGGATGATGCGTGACCAATGGTAATGGTTTGATGCGCCTCTTCTCTTCTAGCTGACGCAGCAGGCGCTTGATTTCTGTAGTGATAGTGGTTCCATTGGTGATTCAGATGGTCCCGATTTACAGGTGGGCTGCCCGTTGTTCTTCGGATTGGGCTTGACGCTCGCTTGCTTCTGCAAACCTTTGCGATGTGGCCCCTCTTTCCACAGGAACGGCAGAGTGCGTCAAGGAATTTGCAGTCCGATTGCGGGTGATTGGCCACGCAACCGGCTCATTGACGTGCAGGTTTCTGGCTCTTCTGGTCTCGCTGGTCGCGCTCTGACCTGAGTCGGTTGACCTCTTCTTCCTCACTATCAGACGAGGATTCGAGGTCTTCATGGTGAGCCGTTGTTGAGTGCCTCTTGGAATAAGGCGTAGTATCACTGGCAAGTTGGCGGAGCGGTGCGTTGGTGCGGCGCATTTGAGCGGCCGACTTCCTGGTTGCTTCTCCTGCAGTAGCGTCGGCGATGACATCTGCAAGGTCGATGTCCCCTTTAGCCATGATCTTGCTCTGCGCAGTGTGGTCATCTAATCCCAGAACTATGCGGTCTCTCATGGCTTCCTCGAGGTTTGCGAAACCACAGAGGCCTCCCAGGTTCCGGAGGTCCGAGATGAAGTCCCCAACACTCTCGTTTTTCCGTTGGTCCCTCTGGTAAAATTCATGCCTTCGGATAAGCGTTGGTACCGCGGGTGCATAATGGGCTCGGAGGATCGGTGCGAGGGTATCCCAATCCATTGTCTTAACTTCCGCTGGTTTAGCAAGTGCCTTAGCCATTTTAAAAACGGCAGGCCCGCAATGGGTCAGGAAGATCGCTCATTTCTTGCCAGGCGCAGCGTCTTTCAGATTGTTGGTCTCCAGGAACATCTGGAATCTGTCTATATACGAGTCCCAGTCTTCGTTAGCTGGGTCAAATGGAGTGGGTGGTATGGCGCCGCTGGCCATCTTGCCGTTGTTGGTGCTTTCTTAGCCACGTGCTCTGTTCGGTACTCAGTGAGTGCTCAGTCAGCTCTATCGTCTCTGTATCCCATCCTCGTCACCAGTGTTAGATCTGGAGGAGTGGGCGCAATAACAGAGACGAGGCATCGATAGTGACTCAATTCAACTCTTTAATAGTGACTTCAGAACAGAACAACAACTAGGGCAGCAGCAGCTCTTTTATAGAGCTGGCTGCTGTCACAACGACCAATGAAATTGAACTAACCGCTCTAAAAGCGTCCAATCAGAGACGGCCCATTGTCAGCCAATCAGATTAGCCAGAATCGGCCAATCACGATTCGCTTATCTGCGGGCCAATCCGAAGTGCAGGATTACAAGCCTGCTGCTGAAGTAAGCTGGTATAGTTATTGTCAAATGAGTTTGTTTAGTTCGTAACAAGCTTCATAACCTACAAAATATAATTGTATCACTCTATGTTTTCCCTTTTGCCTTACTTGCGTGGAATATGAACCCATGCTGGGGTTCCAAATGTATGTAAATAACTGAGATCTGGCTTTTTTCCATTCCAATGAGTAAATGGTAATTCACCAGTCGCTGAATTCACTACGTTATTCAAAACATGGTTAGCACACATTATTGCTTCACCCCAAAGTTTCTCTGATAAACCAGAATCCGAAATCATAGTCCTAGCCATAGTCTGTAATGTTTGTCCTCTATGTTCAATATATGAGTTATGTTGTGGTCTATAAGGAGCAGAACGCTTATGTTCAATGCCAGCTTTCTGTACCATGGCTTCAAATTTTCTATCGGTAAATTCAGTACCATTATCTGGTACTAAGCTAATAACTTTCTGTTTCTTTTTCCTTTCAGCAAATTTTAGCCAGTTTACAAAATGCTGGTATGTTTCTGTCTTCGTTTTCATTAAATAACAGAAACCATATCTGGAAAAATGATCAATTATACTTAGTATGTAACAGGCTCCACCTAAACTAGGTTTCTTAGGTCCAATAATATCAGCAAAAACAACCTCTAATGGTTCACTGGTTGTGAATCCATTTACCCTATTTGCAGGAGTTACCGTATATACTCGAGTATAAGTCAACCCGAATATAAGCCGAGGCATCTAATTTTACCACAAAAAACTGGGAAAACTTATTGACTCGAGTATAAGCCGAGGGTGGGAAATGCAGCAGCTACTGGTAAATTTCAAAAATAAAAATAGATACCAATAAAAACTTTCACTAGGACAGTTGAGAATAAGTTTGATGTTCACAATTTCCTCTTTGAAAGAGACTAGTAAATAGGGAACAAGAAGATGAAGAAAAAGAAGTGTGTTTTTTCACACTTTTCACACTGCAGTGAACAAAAATGGCATCGTAGGAACAGGATTATTCTCAGTCCAAAGGTTTTTTTGTGATTTCTTCCCTGATTTAAGGGAAATTTGGGAAACGATATCACTATCATGAAAGGTTTAATTGATTCACTAACCCAAAAGAAGATGATGATGACAGTGGGAGGCAGGAGTCACTCTCTCCCTTGCAAGAAAAAAGCAAGAGCCGTTCTTATGATCTCTCTCTCTCTCTCTCCCCGTAATACAGTCAAGCCCTTTCCAGCACGCGTGATCTGCCGCCGCAGCTTTGTACCTTGCAAATGCAAAATCCCGGGGTTTTTACATTTGCAAGGTGCAAAGCGGCGGGGGCGGATCGCGCATGCTGGAAAGGGCTTGACTGTATTACGGGGAGAGAGAAAGATCATAAGAACGGCTCTTGCTTTTTTCGTGCAAGGGAGAGTGACCCCTGCCTCCCACTGTCATCAACATCTTCTTTTGGGTTAGTGAATCAATTAATTTGGGAAATGATCTCACTATCATGAAAGTCAGTGTTCTCTGCCCATGGGGCGTTTGGAAGAAAATGCCCCACGGCATATCCACGTGCGTGTAAGGGGAATCAGAAATCCCCGCGTTCAACGCCTAGCACGCAGCTGTGAGCAAATACTGGGAAAACCTGATTGATCAGAAGGAAGGAGGCAAAAGAGGGAGGGGCGGTGGTGGACGGAGGTCCCACTGGTATTTGTGAAACACTTGGTTGGCAGCG